AAAGACACACCAATACCAAAAGAATCACATTTATTAGTCCAAAGTACGACCCCAAAAATTCTGTAAATGATATGGTATGGATCTGTGTCCCCATCCAAGTCTTATGTTGAAATGCAATCCCCAATACTGGGAGTGGGGCCTAGTGGGAGGTGATTGAATTATGAATTTCATAATTATGAGAAATTATGAATTTCTCATGAATAGTTTAGCACCATCTCCCTAGGGCTGTTCTCGTGGTAGAGTTCTCATGTGATCTGATTGTTTAAAAGTGTGTAACACTTCCCACTTCTTTCTCTTGATCCTGTTCCTGCCATGTGAGATGCCTGCTCCTTTGTCTTCCACCATGAGTAAAAGCTCCAGGAGTAGCTGCTGTCATGCTTCTTGTTCAGCCTGTGGGAATGTGAGTCAATTAAACCTATTTCCTTTATAAGTTATCCAGTCTCAGGTATTCCCTTACAGTAGTGCAAGAATGGCCTAATATAAGAAATTGGTATTGAGGAGTGGGGCACTGCTATAAAGATATCTGAAAATGTGGAAGTGGCTTTGGAACTGGGTAAATGGCAGATGTTGGAAGAGTGTGGAGAGTGCAGAAGAAGACAGGAAGATGAGAAAATATTGGAACTTCCTAGAGACTTATTAAATTGTTATGACTAAAATGATAATAGTGATATGGACAATGAGAGCTAGGCTAGGAAGATATCAGAGGGAGATAAGAACCTTAGTGGGAACTGGAGTAAAGGTCACTTTTGCTATGCTTTAGTAGAGCCTGAGTGCATTGTGCCCTTGCTCTAGGGATGTGTGAAATTTTGAACTTGAGAGTGATGGTTTAGGGTATCTAGTGGAAGAAATTTCTTAGCAGCAAAGCATTCGTGATTTGACCTGGCTGCTTCTAACAATCTATGCTTATATGTGTGAGCAAAGAAATGATCTGAAACTGAAACTTATATTTAAAAGGGAAGCAAAGCATAAAAGTTAGGAATATTTGCAGCCTGGCCATATGGTAGAAAAGAAAAGCCTATTTTAAAATGAGGAATTCAAGCAGGCTGCAGAAATTTGCATAATTTAAAAAAAAGGAGCTATGTGCTATTAGCCAAGAAAACAGAAAAAGGCCTCCAAGGCCTGTCAGAGACATTCATGGCAGCCCCTACCATCACAGGCTCAGAAGCCTAGGGGGGAAGAATAATTTTGTGGGCAAAGCCCACCACCCTGCTTTCCTTCATAGCCTCAGGATATTGCTCCCTGTATTCTGGCCACTCCAGCACTAGCCTTGGTGCAAAGGAGCCCAGGTATAGCTCAAGCTCAGATCACTGCTTCAGAGGGTGCAAGCCATAAGCCTTGGTGGCTTCCACTTAGCGTTAAGCCTGCAGGTGCACAGACTGCAAGAGTTGAGGCTTGGAAGCCTCCACCTAGATTCCAGAGGATTTATGGAAAAGCCTGGATGTCCAGGCATAAGCCTACTTCAGTGGTGAAACCCTCATGGAACACTTCTACTAGGGAAGTGTGGAATGAAAAAGTGGGATTGAAGCCCCACACAGAGTCCCTCACAGTGCAGCTGTGAGAAGAGGGCCATCATCATCCAGACCCCAGAATGGTAGATCCTCCAGAAGTCTGCACCTTGCATCTGGAAAAGCCTTAGCATTCATCACCAGATCTTGAGAGCAGTGACAGAGGCTGCATCCTGCAAAGCCACTGGGGTGGAGCTACCCAAGGCTTTGGGAACCCACCCCTTGTATCAGTGTGACCTGGATGTGGGACATGAAGTCAAAGGAAGTAATTTTGAAGCTTTAAGACAGGATGTTCAATCTTTTGGCTTCCCTGGGCCACAATGGAAAAAGAATAATTGTCTTGGGCCACACATAAAATATACTAACACTGATGATAGCTGATGAGCTAAAAAAAAAATTACAAAATTATCTCATAATGCTTTTAAGAAAGTTTATGAATTTGTGTTGGGCCACATTCAAAGTCATCCTGGTCTGCATGCAGCCTATGGGCTGTGGGTTGGACAAGTTGACTTTAAGATTTAGTGACTGTACTGTTGGGTTTTGAACTTGCATGGGGCCTTCTCTTTCTTTTGGTCAATTTCTCCCTTTGAGAATGCCTACACCAATGCCTACACCGCCATTGTATCTTGGAAGTTACTAATCTGTTTTTTATTTTACAGGCTCATGGGCAGAAGTGACTAGCTTTGTCTCAGGTGAGACTTTGGACTTGGACTTTTAAGTTAATGCTGGAATAAGTTAAGACTTTGGGGAGCTGTTGGGAAGGCCTAATTTGTATTTTGAAATGTGAGGACATGAGATTTTGGAGGGTCCAGGGATAGAAAGATATGGTCTGGATCTGTGTCCCTACCCAAATCTCAGATTCATTTATGATCCCCAGCTGGAGGTGGGACCTAGTAGAAGGTGATTGGATCACTGGATAGACTTATCATGAGATCTGGTTGTTTAAAAGTATGTGGCACCTCCCCTCTTTCTCTTGATCCTGTTCCTGCCATGTGAGACTCCTGCTCCTGCTTTGCCTTCTGCTATGAGTAAAAGCTCTCTGAGGCCTCCCCAGAAGCAGCTGCTGCCATGCTTCCTCTACAGACTGTGGGACCAAGAGCTAACTAAACTTCTTTGCTTTTATAAATTACCCAATCTCGACTATTTTTTCATAGCAGTGTAAGAATGGCCCAATACAGTAAATAACCCAATTCTAATGTTTTAGGAGTTTTTTTCCCAAAAATTTCTATGAACAACCTTAATTTTAAGTACATATCATGAATCAACATTTAGTTCCCTATGTATTCTGGTATTATGCTTTTTTTACTACCTGGCACTGACTCTGAATGGCTATGCCAATGAGTTTTCATATATTCTTAAAGACTTCTTTCAAGTCTACAATATTCTGTCATGAAAAAAGTGTCTGAGATAATTGGTCTGGACACTTTACTATTTGCTCTATTAAGCCTATAGTCCTTGATGATTAACCTATTAGAGGTAATGTAATAAGTCAGATAAATATGCTCAATATTTAAGATGTTAAATTTATGTATTTGTACCTCACACACAATGAGAGTTGTGCAGAATATGCCAAGAAAATGTAACTTTTTCCTGTATTACACAACATCTCCATTAGCTCTATGAAAAGATAAATAGTGAAGTTGTGATAATTTCTAATTCAGCATATTATTACAGATAAAATAAATGTTAACTGAAGTGGATCAAAAAAAACACTGAACTCTACTGGTTGAATTTAAACTTTAGCTTTGTTAGTAAACACCTCCTCTTCCTTAAAAATCATTTCAAACTACAGAGAAGTGACTGTAGGGCTCCTTTAGAAAAATCAGCACATTTCATTTCTGAGTACATATAAATATATATGCATTCATTGAAAAATAGTATTTTATTTTTAAATATATATATATAATATACATGCACATTCATAGGAAAATAGAATAAAGGCAGCAGGAAGTACATCAAATTATTAATAGTAGTCATGTCTTGGAGATAAGATTTGAAGTGATTTTAATATTTTATTCACATGTTTCTATATTTTCCAAATTCTATACTGGATACCATTAGATATCTGATAGTTTTCTAAAAGCAGAAATGTTGGTGGAGTCAAGGGAAAATGTTTAACAAGAACAGTTCACGACTTTTTGGTGTTTATTAATTCTGGAGGCAACATAGATTGAACTAGTTAAACATAACTGATTCAAAAACGTATCTGTGTAACTTATCTATGTAAATTTCCAATTAAGCCTATAAATTTAGGCAATCTAAGTGATTTTGGTAAGACATTATCAAATAGGATGAGTTTGATGGCAGCATGAATAACGGAGTGGTACCTAGGAGAATTGGCTTCTGCAAAATTCCTAGACTCTGGTTGGTCCAGCTGAGTGCACAGTAATACCTTAACTGTGTTTGAAATACTAGAAAATGAGGTCTGAGGATTCAGAAAAGGTGATGATTCAGTATTTATCTGTTAAAGTAATACCAAACCACTAAAAGGCATTTTTCTAGTTGTTCACACCTTTCTGCAACAATATCTGTTTCTTTTTTTCTAAATAATATAAATAGATTTCACATTTCAAAAGTTGGAAAAATATAGCCTCAGTAACTATTTATAGGTAGTTGGAAATTATCCCTGTCTGAATGACTGAATAATTATGTTTTTAAAAAGATAAAGATCCTACTGATTCATTCTAAAATAAGATGACTTATTTTTAAATATAAATGTCTTCACTGTCTTAGTGAGCATAGTCAGCCAGCTTTCAGAACAGTACACCATTGAGCCAAATAGTCTTTTTAAAACAAGCTCTCATACTTTGGACAGGGGTGAAGGAAGAGAGAGAGTGAAAGAGACAGACAGAGAAACAGAAGCTGAATTAGTGATTATAACTATTCTCTAGGTTCCTATATCTTTTGCCAAGATGATAATCATCTTGTTCTGATTTGGGGTATATTTTAATTGAACTATTCATGGTATTAATAAAAGATCAAACCTCTGGAGTTCCTTTGATGTACATAGCAAATCACTGACCTGACTCCCTGTTTTATGTACCTCATAAAACTGCCACAGCTACCATGCCCTTTCCTAATTCCTGAGACTTACAGTGTGGATTGGAATTTAAATGTTGCTGCATCCAAATCAGGACTTAGGTTTAAATGCTAAGCATGTGAAGCATGGTAGGCCATCAACCTGGTACCATATGATTATGAGCTTTCATCACCTAGCTACGTTAATTTCCATCTCTTTGTCATCTTGATTTTGGGGAAATGTTCGGTCAAATGGGGAAGGAAAATTAGAGTGTGTGGGATGGGTGGATGAAGCTGTGGTTCATGAGTCTTTGCTTAGGGACAAAGTTTTTTTCTCTCTTATTGAACATTTTAGTTTAATCTGAAAATATCAATGCTACCCAAATGCTTATCTTATCTGAAAAAGAGAGTGGAGAGAAGAAACAGAAGGTTCAAGACAACTAGTTCCTTTCCACAAAACAGAACAAAGCTTAAAAAGCCTAGTAGATAGTTCTCATCATGGATTGTAAATTTAGAGTGACCAACTTTGTATACTTTAGTGCTCAAACTACTCCCTGTGCCTCAATCATTTTCTCATGTTCTCTTCACCTTCCAAAGTGTAAATCATAAAATGCAGACTGACTAGTGCTAGGCAGAATAGTATAGGAGCGTAAATTAGATACAATTCTAGATATTTAACTTTTCCAGCTTAAAAAATAATTATATCACAATATAATTCCCTATTCTTTAGAGCAGTACCTCAGCAGGAGTAGCTAGGAAAAAGACTGTGAAAGCAGCATCTATCTGCTTATACCTGTAGGAGTGATCAGTCAGTAAAAAGAGGGTCCATTTTTTTTCTGGACAGAGTTGGAACAGAAGTCTCCCCACTGCCTGTTATATGTATTGTCTTTTCCTCTTTCTCGCTGGAGCTTTTAAGGGTGTGTGTGTGTGTGTGTGTGTGTGTGTGTGTGTGTGTGTGTATAACAAAGCTTCAAGAATTAATACATTTGAAATGTACCATACATCCTAATTTATGGTACAGTTTATTCCAATTATCTCAACATTATAATAGCACTAATTTTACACTAAAAAGTCTTTATTTTACAATAAATCATGTGCTCACACTAGTGATAGCCCTAATCAAACATTTAGCTAAAATCCTAACTGCATTTCTTACCAGATGTGTAACCTTGATAAAGTCTCTCAGTTTCTCTGTGTGCCTGTCTTCTCATGGAAAACGGTAATGATGGTGCAAGTTGAGTATCCCTTATCTGAAATGCTTGGGACAAGAGTGTTTTAGATTTCAGGTTTTAATGCATTCTTGAATATTTGCATAATACATGTTGGTTGAACATCCTTCACCAGAAAATTAGAAATCTGAAATGCTCCACTGAGCACTTCCTTTGAACACCATATCAGTGTTCAAAACGTTTTAGATCTGGGGACATTTCAGATTTCTGATTTTTGGATTTGGGATGCTCAACCTGTAGTGCCTAACTCATATGGTGCTCTAATGAGTTAATGTATATAACTGAGGATCCAATGAGTTAATTTATATAATTTCAGAACAGTTCCTAATATATCGTAAAAACTAAATATATTGTAGTTATTATAAAAGTTGACGAGTCTGACCCTCTTGCCCTCTAACCTAGACCCACACACACACACAAATCCATGAAATCAACTATTTGACAAAATACAGTATACTTAAGCAACTTTAGGTAACAAAGTGTCAATTGCTTTTGTAAGTCATCTTTATATGAATCAGTAATATTTATATGATGGTTTTACTCTAATACACACTTTCCTACACATCACAATTTTTTCATAACAATTCCATGAAGTAGATATTAATATTCTTATTTTTTCAGATGAAAACAGTCAGAAGAGTTAAGTTGTCCCTATGTCACAGACAAAAACTGCCACAGCCAGAATTTGAACCAAATTCTTCTTACTCTAAATGCCATAGTTTTGCCACTAGGAAATAACAACTATTAAATTCTTAATCATTTTATTTCATTTTCAACTCAAGTTGAATTTTTACCTCAAATGACTTTCATATTTTGTCATGTTTACCTTAATTCCATCATAGCACTTTTCATACAATAATTACATATTTAACTGCCCAATTCTTCAACATAAAAATATTAAATTGCATGAGAGAAAAGACTACGAATTCATCATTAGATTTGTAGTGGCCTTCTTAATTTCTGAAACACAAGCAGAATCTCAATAGATGTTTATTAAGCTAAATGAAACCTATTTCTCAAGAAGTGTCCTGGAAAATATTAGACAAAAAGAAAATGCTTTCTGTTTGTCCAGTGTCTGTATCCCAGCTTCCTGTTAAGTGATGTTTTGAAAAGAGGAGATAAGCTTGGGCTGAGGTGACAAATGGCATTCATGGAGAATTTGATTAATTTATCTGCCCTTTCCTGACATTTCTTCTTGGGCACTTTACTGAGATATATTGAGGCAAACATTGGCTTTTCCCAAGGAAGCCTCCCTCTCTGGAAATCCCTGTCATACTATTAAGACTTCTTAAAACAAGAATAATACAGCCCAGAGTGGGGGCTCATGCCTGTAATCCCAGCACTTTGGGAGGTCTAGGCAGGCGGATCACTTGAGCTCAGGAGCTTGAGGCTAGGCTGGGCAACATGGTGAAACTTTGTCTCCACTAAAAATTAAAAAAAAAAAAAAAAAAAGAGAAGCCAGGCATGGGGCACACATCTGTAATCCTAGCTACCTGGTAGGCTGAGTCACAAGAATTGCTTGAACTCAGGAGGCAGAGATGGCAGTGAGCAAAGATTGCACCACTGCACTCCAGCCTGGGTGACAGAATGAGGCTCTGGCAAAAAAGAAAGAAAGAAAGAACAATGTTAAGTACTTACTTTCTAGATCCGTAAAGATTTCCATAAGCATTAGTGTCATTACCACTCTGCTCCTGGTTATCAATAGTAAAATTAGACTGGTAAAAATCAGAGTCAATTTGTGCCAAGTTTGACATCCTGAAAAATAAGAGTATGTTTTTAATAAGTTCATGAGTCAATAAAACTTAGTTTGAGATATTTACAAAGATCAACTGACAATGTAGTTATGGATGGATTCCTATCAGAAAACAAGGTATCCTTTGAAGGGGATCAATAAAGTATTGGAGGAAGGGTGTGGTAATATATGCTAGAAGGTTATTTACAAACTGTGTTATCTTCAACTACTTTTTAAAAAGTTTTCACACCCTGGACTGTGGCTTCTAATAAGTTGGCTTGAAAGAACTAATCTCCAAATATCTTATTCTTAGCTTTAAGGGAAAAAGTTTAAAACATGGTACACATCTAGAAGAATTTCCCTAAAACAATGTCAGTTTTTTACTTTAAGTACACGCATGCACATGCAGACACACACACACACACACACACACACACACACACACATTCTTGTAGCAATGATTATTATTATCTACAAATGGTTCATAATAATAATACTCCTTCTCAAAGCAAAACCAATACACTACAAAGGTATTTCCTTTTTCTACTTGGCAATTCTTAAAAAGTGTTTGGAACATTTTCCTTTTTCTTTTGCTCTGGGTACTGCACCTGGGCTTCTGGCAGAGTCAGAGAGAAAAAGACTCAATCCTGCTAAGGGGTGTCTTTTGTTCTCTACACTCTCTCTATAGTTTTCACTCACTTCTTGGAGTAAAGAGGAATGATTTTTTTATGGCCAGGAATACCATAGGAAAATATGAAGAACTGAGAGAAGGAAGAGGTATGGGAGAAGAGGACGTTAGAGAGGTAACAGTGACTCTTTGGATTAAAAAGTAGACAACAGAGAAGAGGCTCTTCAGCTAGACAAATGTGGTCATTCAACTCAACATGTAATTCTTTATTTTTCTTTGAAAATCTTTGTATTTTAAAATAGTGGATTTAAAAATCACTAGGAGTAATCCATATACTTATAATAATCTATGGACTATTACTTATAAGAAATCTCAAAAGAAATTGCATAAAAACAGGTTCAACTAGAAGGGTATTATTAATCAGAAATATTAAAGTAACAATTGTCAAATATATCAAATTTGTTCAGTTCAATAAAAACACAAAAAGATGCAGCGATTCATACATCTGATGTAAGAAATCAAGATTTTTCATTAGTAATGTGTATAAAAGTAGCTATGAATTATGTAAACTAAAATCAGGACTTAGTGATAAACCTTTTAACAACTTATAATTTAAAGAACTTAAAATTTAATAGGATAACTTTCTCAACACATGAAAATATGTTATTATAGAGCATAGAGTAATTCATTGAAAATACACTAAATTTTCATAACATGTAAAGCTTTATGTAATGTGACTATTGGTACTACATTTCTTACATAATCCAGCTTTGTATTTTGTTTAAATGCCGAGTTTTTTAAAAGGATCAGACACATACCTCTATTTATTTTTGTGGAAAGATCCTCCAGCAAATGTAGCTTTGTGTGAGAAATTTAAAGCAAATCCATTGGTGGAAAGATGACGTGCTGGCTATATATAGACCTTTCTAAATTTGTACTCTGACACGCTGAGCAGATGCTACAGGCAAAAATAAAAAAGCCTGCCAAAAGTCAAATACAGTATCTTATAACACTTATTGTGGTTTACAAACACAGTGAACAGTGTACAGACATACAATTTGATCAATATGCAAATTGTGGAAAGATAGAATACAGTTTCCTTGTGTACGTATCTATTAAACTGAGATGAGATCACTTATTTGAGACAAGCAGTTAAAAAGTAAGAGGCCTCAATGTCCCTTCCATTTCATGGATTTCCTGATAATATGCAGTAAAAATAAAAATACGGCACATGATTTGTCATGAAGATCTCGGCACCAAAATGAAAATGGGTTGTGGTCAATTTTATCTATCAGAGCTATTCTATTTATATGAGCAATATTTAAGAAGACTAATTGTGGTCTGCCTCTGACTTTTCTGGCTTCCTACTTTTCCAGCAGAGGCCAACATGGGTATGCTAATGAAATCTAGTGCTTCTTACCTGTGGGGTAGGTTCTGTGCCATTTTCAAGGCAATCCTAAACACTGGAAAGTGTTAGGCCCATCCCCACCCCAGGAAGCAACCTGAGTTGGCCTTTCGCTGCATCACTGGGTTACTACTGGGAGCCTACTCTCTGGTTCTGAGCCAGGTAACCTAGCTAATACTATCAATTCTATCTAGATCTTGTCTTCTCATCCCTAATGTTAATCTCATGGCTGGAAGTCAAGTTCCCCTGTAGTCTGCTTCATGCCGATTCTCTTTTCTAAGACTTAAGACTTCCCATGTATCCAAATCTCAGTAATTGAAATTTTCTGTCCGACGGCAGATTATTTGGCACTTCAGAATCTTCAGCTGGAGCCAACATCAGAATGCTGGAGTAATTTCTTTTTCCACATTGTTTAAAAGGATTTGAAACTTGAATGTCTTTCATCACAGCTGCCCTTCCTACAACAGTAGTCAGGCAACAACGGGTCACACATTTATCAAGAAACTACTGTTGAGTACCAGACTCTGTTCTAGATGCTAGGGTTTCAGAAACAGGTAAACTAAACAGACTTGCATTTAAAGAGATACATCTTATACTGATTTTGCTACACCTACAACTAATAATTAATGACTAGCTGGGCATTGTTCTACAAAGTTTAAGTCATTTAATTTTTGTAACAACCTGATGAGGTATTATTATCCAATTTTACAGAAAAAGAAATGGAGATTGAATAATTTTCCTAAGGTCATTAGCTAGTAGATGAAAAAGCCAAAGTTTGAAACCTGACAGAGTTCAGAGTTCACATTATCCAAGATAATTTCAGGAATTATACCATAGAATGTGCTATTAAGATGGAGAGTACAAAGGGGAGAAGATTTGATTGCTCAGGGAAGGCTTCTTAAGAGGGTCATTTGGATAGAGATCTGATAGATGATAATGGAATTACTTCAAAGACTACATAAAGAACATTTCAAGTAGAGACTTTCAGATGGCAAGAAGTTTTGTAGTTTATAGTTTAGAAAAGAAAGCCAATGTTGTAGGGATTTTTGAATTAGAGAAATTTGAAGGAGATGAGGTCAGAGGTATGAACAGAGGTTGGATCCTAAAGGAGCCTGTAGGCCATGGTAAAGAGTCTGCATGTTATTATAATTGAACTGAAGTGTCATTCTGGGGTTTTACACAATGTGATGATATCAGTTTTACTCACAAGTGGAAAAGGGAGCCTGGTTAGGAAGAAGGTGTTACAATAGCACAGGCGTGAGATGTCAGTGGCTTAACCTAGGGTTGCAGTGTAAGGAGAACTGGTACAAAAGTCATGGCAACTGAGGGAAAGATGAATTGAAGGGGTCAATATTGAAGCAGCAGTATCAGTAAAAAGAAAATTCAGTCCAGAAAAATGATGATGAGTTATCTGAATTAAGGATGGTCCAAGGTATAGGTCGAGTAGTGAACAAATACAGAAGATGTTTAGAAAGATTTGATAGGATTTAATTTCTATTGAATAGGAGGAAGAAGAAAAAGGCAATCATTGAGGATGATTTTTAGAATTCTGCAATTTTTCATTCTAATGCCTAATGCCGTAGGAAAAGGCCAAATTGTTATATAGTGGCCAAATTTTGATTATCATCTTTTCTATTCCTTCTTTCAAAGTTCTTACATGAGAACATAGGTCCTTCTCTAAAACAGCAGGGATTTATGATATATTCTTTTTTTGATATATAAATGCCATGTAAAGTTTATCAAAGATAATATTTATCTTAGTCCAATTAGATATATTTTAAACTTATTTTGTGATTTTGTACTTTTCAACATAGTTTCGTTCATAAAAACCTGGCTTGATTAAATGAATTGCAGAAATATATGGACTGAAAATGGCATATAAAAATCATATTAATCTAAGCCTCAAGTGAATTATAAACCATGAGACATTGAGGACAAAATGACTTCAGGCTCCTTAGAAGTGCATTAATGGATCATTAATGCATATGCAAGAATACTTTAAAGCTATTCTTATGGATAAAACACTGTGTATCTATAAAATATACATTTAAATGGTTTACCTCCATTAATGAATTATCTGATTGCTGTAGTATATATTGGTGAATGGAGTGTAGATTGATATTACATATAGTCACAGTGTCATCAATTATTTTAACTCATCTGTTTTAGTGATTGTTTCTGTGTCCTGAACAACCAAAAAGACTACATTATGTGAATAAGGTTTCTCAGCTGATGTAAAAAAGCCCCATGTTCTGCTCATAACCACTTTCTTTTCCTTCATTTTTATTTTCTTTTCTCTCCCTGCTCTCTCCTTCCCTCCATCCTTTCCTTCCCTCACTCAGTTCCCTCTCTAAACACTCTCCTAAGGTGATCCTATGTATTTCCCCGGCTTTATATATTATCTATATATATCAATTCCCAAAGTTATGCATGCATCCTTGACCTTTCTTCTCAGTTCCAGACTATTTGATAGACACTTCAAACTTAACACAATCCAAACTGGATTCTTAAAGTCTCCACCCTCCCCAACCCAAGACTGTCTTCTTCATTTCAAGAAATTACATCACAAAGCACCCACTCAAATCAGAAATCATCTAATTTTTCAATAAATTCTATCAATTCTGTATCTTAAATATATATCTCACTAACCAATTCCTTCCATCACCATTGCTATAAGCCTGGTTGAAATCACCATTTTCTCCCACTTATAATTCTCTTTGTTGTTATTTTAAAAAGTGATATATCACTTTTACTGTAGCAGATTGGCAGGAGATAACAAAGCTCTTATAAAAAGATGATTGTAGAAATTATACCTTTAATGACTTGCAAAATCAGGACAAATTCTTCTGTGGTTGCTAACTATAATTAGCAGTAGCAATCGAGAAGAATTTCCATCCATAATTTCTGAGCATCTCGCTGGTGATCTGTCACATGTTGTAGAGGCTGTGAGTTGCTCAACAGCTATATTGAAAACAATTTGCTATATACCTGACAGTTATGCAATTGTGTTAAGTTTAAGGATAAATGGTTTGGTGTATGGATGAATGATCACTATTACTAATTCTGCATACTCAGAATCTAGTATTTTAGTTGATGTCTATCAATCTAAGTATAATATAAAATTGCAACATCCATCACTACAGTCCTTTGATATAAAAATGGAGGCTCAGAGAAGCAAAGTTGTTTGTGTAAAGTCACACACCTAGTATGTGAAAGAACCTAGTCTGAAGCATCAGTTCTCTCACTCGTCCAGGTTTCTTTGATTAATCTGTTTCTCCAAAAATATTATGTATGGCTGCCCAGAACTCTGGTGTTATAAATGTATGTATTTAGGAACATTAAATGATGTTTATTTTTATCCATCTACCCCAAATATTTTCAGCTGAATAGAGCTGCCAATAAACGAAGTGAAAAATATGTCACCATTTTCTACCTCTGCTGACAGAGAAACAGGTTGTTTGTTACCAGTGTTTATCATGTAATTAATTTATTCTGGCAATCTATATTGCAATTTAATGTACATCTGCATTAATGCAGAGAAGAATGCAATGCATTCTGTTTTCCATTATTTTTAATGCATTTTTGTCAGTATTCTCTAAATGCTCTTTTCGTTAGTACCACATAAGATTTGTTCCTGATCATCTGCCTTTTAAAGACCATGCTGCTTCTATTTTATAAGCCTGAAACTACAGCCCTGAATATTACAGAGACACATGATAATAGGCATAAAATTCTGTTTCATTGCATGAATTTTAAAGAGCTCAATATGTTCTACGGCAAGCAAAGAAAAGAAAATTAAAGAATTTTGCTTCATTAATACTATCGTAATTATCTTTGACTTTCAATTTGGCAACCTCTTCTTAATTTCCACTTTTATTCTATAAAGACTTAATTTGTCTTTGTAGAAAAAACTGCATTCTAGCAGACTTATTGCTGAACTCTTATTAGTTTTTAGTTTGGCAATATGTTTTGTTAGCAAAAATACAATTACGCCTGAGATTGTGAAAGTTGATATGAGCAGTAGTTGAATTATACATTCTTAGTAATCATATTATTGTAATAATCATTTAAATATGTAATAAGAAGTCAAATTTACATACATTTAGCAAATTGATAGAATTAATTTTCATAGGAGGTTTTTCCTAGGAATTATATACATTCTTCCACAAGTTACTTAGCCACATAGATCCTTAGTTCCCTCATCAAAAAAAGGAATAAAACTTATACTTACCTCTTAGGTACTGTTTATTTCATCTTTATCTCATCCACTTCATTCTATTTTTCCATATTTCACAATATGTTGAAATTATTAATGAACATATAACTTTTATGTGTGTATATAAAATTCTGTATAAAATATAAGGATTAGACAGATTTTGCAAAAGGAACAATTAAATACAGTAGTTGGCAAATAGTAAATTGTCAATAAATGTGACCTGTTATGATTATGTTTCTGGGTAATAATGAAACTGGATCAATAACAAGCATCCAAATTTATTCTGGTGTCCATTATTTACAGTCATCCAACATATATTTTTTTTCTATTTTGATAGTAAATAAGTCTGAATAAAGCTATTTTACCAAAAGAAGCTAGGAGGCTGGATATTTGCAAATGTACCATGCAGAAAGTTGTCTCACAATCCAAGCAAAATGACTCATGAAGGTTTACAAAGGTTAAATATGCCACAATGTGAAAAACTAATGCTTGGAGTCAACCTCCTGCCAGATTCTCGGTAAAATTTCTATGATAAAGTTGAGGAGTATGTAGTGAAAAAAAAATGATTTTGGATCATCACATTCTCTCTATCATGCACTAGGACAGCTCATTCATATGAAAGGAAGACGATTCCTGAGACCCTCAGAGATTCAGGCTTTGTAATAAATAGAAAAGCAGCCCTCCCCCTACTATAACGATGTTGCTTTTCTTCCTGCCAGCTGGTCTTATGGTCTGATATATATTTGAGGAAAGTCACTCCTGGGAGAAGGGAAGACTGCTCTTAGGAAATACGGTGAAAGAGAGTTGTGGCTTAGTGGGGCTGGGGGGGAAGTTCTTATTAATTGTTTTGGACTGGCTGGGTGTGTTGGCCCATGCCTGTAATCCTAGAATTTTAGGAGGCTGAGGTGGGAGGATCACTTGAGCCCAGGAGTTTGAGACTAGCCTAGGCAATACAGTGAGACCCCATCTGTATATAAATAAATAAATAAACAAACAAATAAATAAATAATTTAAAAACTGTTATAGACTGAATGTTTGTGTTCTGCCCCTGCCCCCACCACCAAATCCATACATTGAGATCTAAACCCAATGTAATAGCATTTGGAATTGCAGTCTTTGGGAGGTTACTAAGTCATGAAGATGGAATCCTCATAAGTGAGATTAGTAACTTTATAAGAAAAGGCGAGAGAGTTAGCTCTGTTTCCTTCCAATATGTGAGGATACAATAAGAACTCAGCAGTCTGCAAACTGGAGGAGGGCCTCCATCAGAATTCCACCATGCTGGCACCCTGATCTCAGCTTGCAGCCTCCAGAACTGTGAAAAATACATTTCCACTGTTGACAAGCCACCCTGTCCTTGTCACTTTTTTTATAGAAGCCTGAATGGACTAAGACACTAATAATGGCTCTATGTATCCTGGGAACTATAGTCTCCCCACTACCTTGTTTTTATAAGATCAGAGACAAGAGGCATCCAGTGACAATATATACTGGGGAATGAATCTTTTCATGTACCATGCTACTTTCATCCAAAATTCTGATGTGAAACTGTGCAAGACGATCCAATGGAGTAGAGAAAACAGTAGTAGACTATTTGTATTAGTTCGTTTTCATGTGTCTGATAAAGGCTTACCCGAGACTGAGTAATTTATAAAGAAAAATAATGGCAGAAGGTAAGAGGTACATCTTACATGGTAGCAGACGAGAATAAGAATCAAGCAAAAGGGGAATCCCTTATAAAACCATCAGATCTCATGAGATTTATTCACTACCATGAGAACAGTATGAGGGAAACTGCTTCCATGATTCAATTATCTCCCACTGGGTCCCTCCCACAAAACATGGGAATTATGAGAGCTACAATTCAAGATGAGATTTAGCTGGGTACTCAGCCAAACTATATCACTATTATTTACATTTTTTCCTATATAAAAATATGAAATACATAAATCTTTACTAGTAGTTTACACAATTACCATACTATCCCTGTTTGCCTGGGTTTATCTGCAGAGTTTGCTGGATCCTGAGGAAGAGAGGGAACTCATCACTTGAAGATGTTAAAGCAACAAGCATTTTCATCACTTCCCTTTTACAGAGCCACAGCATATTGTGGTTTGTGAGTGTCCATTAAATGTAATTATAAATTATATTTTTTAACTTAAGCTTGCCCTTACAATATGCAACATGGTTTCAAAGTCAGAGTCAGAGAACAGATGAAATGCAAAGACAATGTATTCCAACAAAGCATAAGAGTAAGAAACAAAGACAACAAACTGACCTTTAAAAAGAGCTCTGTTCGTTTAGGAAGCACTGTAAAAAATCTAGTAAAGTAGAATGCAAATGATAGAAAGTAAAAATGATAGTGCTGACAACTGGATCACGGCTATAGAGACTACACTTAAGATAATATTTCCCAATTCAAAATAATAGGAAAAGAAATTTAAATGAAAAAGAAAAAGAAGAGCAAATAAATTAGCAATTTATAATGGGAAAACCCGTGGAAAGTATTTAAACTCACTATCAATAATTTTAAGCTAAAATAAGGCATAATGTTTGACCTATCAAGTTAGCAAAGTTAAAATAAAATAAAATAAAAATATCTAGTTTTAGTAAGGCTGAAGACAACCAAAAATCTCATATAAAATTTATTTTAGTGTTTATTGTTTTAAAACATTTTCAGCAGGTAACTAAGCATTAAAAAGCAGGATAAAACATGTATATTCCTTTGATTTAGCAAATCTAGTTAAAAGAAATTATCCTAAAGATTTAATCAGGGTTATACATTAAACCAAAATCTTATTGTGGCCTGTATGTCTAATATTAGAGGTCTAGTTAAATAAATTACCATACACCTAAGCAATTGAACACTTTGCAATTTGAGGCAGATTAAAGATAGTTACAAACTCTTTGACACTGCTCTTCAAGAAAGGATGTAATTTCCTTCATCTTGAATATAGGCTGACCTTAGTGACTTGCTTGATCAATAAAATGTGGAGGAAGCAATGTTCTCAGACCTTCAAGGTTGGATAAGAAGCCATTTAGCTTTTGCCTGGGTCCCTTGGAACACTTGTTCTTTGAGTCCAACTGCCATGTAACAAGACCAAGTACCTGAGATTGTGATGCTGAAGAGGCTGTGTGGGGAGGCCACATAGACTGTGACTACAAGATGAGAGAGAAAGAGTTGTCAAATTTACAAGTCCTCACCTTGTCCAGTCATCCTAGCTGAGGCTACAGACATCACAGAAACAAGTCATTCCTGCCAGCCCTTCCGAAATTGCATATGAATGCACAAAAGGAATGACTGTTTTGAGGCACTAAATTTTGGAGTGGTTTGTAATATAGCAATAAGTAACTAGAACACATTTGGTGAATAGAATTGGTTTTTGAAAATATTACATTGGCTCTGAGACCAACTAGTAGGAAAAAGATGGAAGTGCCTCAAGGAGACTATTAGTGGAAGCTCAAAGGGTTCCAGGGTGAGGAGTTGAAGGAAAGTGAAAAATATGCTTTTGCAGGATGGAAAAAATTGAGACTCATTTTATGTAGTACCAGAAAATTTGGCGATACTGGTGCCCAGGTTAATGTGAAAAATAGACAGGGGAACTTTCCAGACAAAATACAGAAAATGCCAACCAGCTTCTTGCAGCAACCTATAAAAACATATCAGGAGACTAAAATACAAAAACTAAAGCAGGAACTGTTAAGACTCTCAACAGAATTTAGAAGAAACTTAAAAGGCCCAGTACTTGCTTGATTTAAAAACAAAATAGTGCCGGGTGCGGTGGCTCAAGCCTGTAATCCCAGCACTTTGGGAGGCTGAGGCGGGTGGATCACGAGGTCAAGAGATCGAGACCATCCTGGTCAACATGGTGAAACCCCGTCTCTACTAAAAATACAAAAAATTAGCTGGGCATGGTGGTGCGTGCCTGTAATCCCAGCTACTCAGGAGGCTGAGGCGGGAGAATTGCCTGAACCCAGGAGGCGGAGGTTGTGGTGAGCCGAGATCACGCCATTGCACTCCAGCCTGGGTAACCAGAGTGAAACTCCGTCTCAAAAAAAAAAAAGAAAACAAAAAAAAAGAAAAACAAAAAAAAAAAAACAAAATAGTTTTCCAATCTTAGTCTCTCTTAGCAAAAATTCTCAAAGTAGAAAATGGCATCAGCACAAAGATAAAACCTAGGATGCCACCATTAAACTATGGACTCAGACATAAAATCAAGGTTGTAACTGTAAACCATTTGTTAAGACTTCAGACAGCTATAACGGTATACTTAGCAGGGCTTCTAAATATCTTTTGGGCATGTCTTGTGAACCCTGTCAGTTAAACAACAAGAGTTTTAGGAATATTAATATTCCACAAGAACCACACGAGGGGCTTAAGGTAGAAAAGGGCCCTCTGTCTTAGGAAGAAACATCGGTTGTGAAGTAGATTATAAACTGATCCATAAGAAACTCAAATAGGGAGGCAGCAAATTGACTGAGCATCTCTGTTCTTTGGATAGAAGTTGGTAAGATTTGTAAACAGTAAAAATTCTTACACAAAGTTTGCAAGTATTACAGGTTCCATTTGTTGCAATATGCGTTTGTCGTCACTTGTAAAGGGTACTCATGTCTCTTTATGTCATCTTCTTAACAACAACAATAAGGAAATATTAATCCTATATATTTCCTACCAGGAGGGAGACATCATTCATGAGAGGTGGGAATTATTGGGCTTAAACCTTCAAACTCCTAACATAAAAATGTACATGTGACCAAAAATGTTGCAGATAAATCCTCATGGAAGACAAAAAATTAATAGAATATTACTTAGTGAAGTGGAATCAGAGAATGGGGACTTGGTCTTTAATCACCAAGTTAATTGGTTTTTATCTGTCACCATCTCTAGTCAGCAGATAGAGTTCTTGGTTCAAGGCACTCACAACTTTGAATCCTATAAAGATCCTGTCAAGCTTTTTCTCTTGAATGCTCTTTTGTCCTTGTTTATTTCTGATTTATCTTCCTTCTGATGAACATGTGCTTTTCTTAAGTTACATTGAAACCATTTGTCACATTATGCCAACTGTGGTGCTGTTCTGTACAGCAGTACCCCTTAGAATATATTACAAGACCCCTAGTGGGTGCCTAAGAAACCACAGATAGTATGGAACCCTATGTATACGGTTTCTTCCTCTACATACATACCTATGATAAAGTTAAATGTATAAACTAGGTACAGTAAGAGACTAACAATAATAAACTAGAACAATTGTAACAATATACTGTAATAGCAGTTATGTGAATGTGGTCTCTCTCTCTTTTTCTCTCAAAATATCTTATTGCACTGTACACAGCCTTCTTTCTGTAGATTGATAACCAAGAAGGCTACTTAAGTGACTAATGGGGAAGAGCATACATGGTGAGGATACAAGTGACAAAGAGTTGATTCATGTCCTGGGCAGAGTGGAGCAGGAGAAAGACAGAATGGGACAATGTAAGACTTTGTCATGCTACTCAGAATGGCAGTCAGTTTACAACTTATGAATTATTTCTGGAATTTTCCATTTAATGCTTTTGGAAAACAGTTGACCACAGGTATCTGAAACTGTATGCTTCTTATGGTTTGGATATTTGTCCCCTCAAACCTCATTTGAAATGTGATCCCAACGTTGGAGGTGGGGCCTAATGGGAAGTGTTTGGGTCCTGAGGTGGATCTCTCATGAATTGCTTGGTACGGTCCTTACAGTAATGAGTGAGTTCTTGCTCTATTAATTCCTATGAGAACTGATTGTGAAAAAGAGCCTGGCACCCTCCTCCCAGCTCTCTCTTGCTTCCTCTCTCGCCATATGAACTGCACACATTAGTTCCCCTTTGCCTTTTGTCACAAACAAAAGCAGCCTGAAGCCCTCACCTGACGTACATGTAGGTGCTGTGCTACCTGCACAGCATGCAGAGCCATGAGTCAAATAAACCTATTTTCTTTATAAGTTACCCAACCTCTGGTATTCCTTTATACGGACACAAATGGACTAAGACACTTGGAACTCTAGAGAAACCACACGTAAGAGAGAACGACTATACATCATTCTTCAACTCATCACCTATAGACAGATTTTAGGTTGTAAGTGATAAATGTGTTTTACTCTAATTTCCAAAACTCAGAAGGTGACTAATAAAGAAAAGAGCAGAACCACTATTGTGATCATCAAAGTGAGCACAGAGTTTATTGATTTGCCAGGCAAGAGAACACACACCAGAGAAGAAATTCAAGGAGCAGTTTTCTGAGAGAAAAACTTCAGGGAGAATTATGCAATAGGAATGTGTTAAGAGTTAGTGATGATTATGCCAATGAGTACTTGATGTTTGCTTTCTGGATAGAACTACCTGTCGGTAAGTCTGCACAAGCTTAGTTAAAAACAAGCCCCCATTCTTCACCTGTTAAGAAAGAGTGAAATTCACACTTCCATTGTAATTTTTGCATGTGAGGTTTTGACCCTTCTTTGTTGTTGTTAGCACTGTACAGAGTGTGTAATCTTTTTTCTGTGTGTGTATGTGTTTACTTTTTTCTCTTTGGCTAATTCTTGTCAGGGATCTTCCTGGAGGAAAATGTGGGCCAGCCAGTGCACGGGAGGTGTGGAATCTGCCACGTGGGGCCTGCTGTTTGCCTCCCAGCCCAACTTCCTGTTGCTGGCCCCCGCCCTCTGCCCTTTTGCCTGTCCTCAGGCCGCTGGAACAAAGGAAGAACAGTTCATTCCTCATGGGCGATCACTGCGCACCCACAGCGTAGAGCGTAGGGGGAGCTTGAGGCTGGGCTAAGGGGCTTCTTGTCCTGGGTTCACAGCTGTCCCCTACCCCCCCCGCCGCAGCACCAGTGCCGCCTCCCAGAAGGGGCTGCTGTTTCCCCCTCAGCTACTGCGCTGCCTTCGGGTGGTGAATGGAGGGGAACCAGGCGCCGTTGGAGGCAGCCCGGGAAGCAGACTGCGTAGTGTCACCCACAAGGGAGGCAAGGGCCAGCTGACAGCAGCAGGAGCTGCTGCGTGAATGTGCAGCATGCAACCCAGGCCAGGCCGGGCTCCGTGGCTGGGGATCTGCTTGGAGTTGTCTGCCCCTCACCCGAAGCTTCCGGCAAGGAGCAGGGCTTGTGAGCAAGTCAGAAGGATTAAACCTAGCAGCCAGTCTTTTCAGCCCTCCCTCCGCTCCCCGACCACCAATCTGCCCGGAGATGCCTCGGCTTGTGTCATCCAGGGCCTCTGGTTTGTTGTATTACATTTTGCTGTGGAAAATGTCACGTTTAGTCACCTTGGAGCCCACTTACCTGGTCCTGCTGTTTTACCCCATCCCTTCTCTGGCGCGCCTTTTGAGTTCTCGTTTCTGAGGAGAGTACACTGTTCACTATTGTAGAGTAGCACCTGCGACTCGGTATTACCATAGTGCAATGTCGTTTTGTGCTATTTTAAACAATTAAAATACTTTCTGAAATTAAAAAAAGTTCTTCAATTTTGTTCAGTAATGGTCACTCAAAATTTACATTTATTTATCAGCTATGGTTGGTGAATGTTCAATGTTCATGATTGCTTAAAAGCTTCAGCTTCTTAGAACCAGTTGGGGTGAAACACAGCATATTATGTAGTCCAATTATATCATAGGCAATCACTGCTTTAAGTTGAACATCTGTCTTTTAGATATCTCACTGTTGCCATCACTTACCATCTACTGCAATTATGTACAAGGCTTATATTACATTCTGGTGAGACACTTGAGAATTTCACTGCATTCATATAGTCTTCATAGCATCTAGCACAGTTTCTAAGATACAATAAATGTTCAGTAAAGGTGTGTTGAATTAATGAATACTCAAACAAGACAATTTTTTAAGCTCACCTTTTTTTCTTTATCAAAATTAATGTGTATCTATTTAGAATAAAATCTCTGTGTAAGAGGCTTTCTTAATATTTTATCAGCATAATATACTTGAAAATATCATGTAACATAGAAAAACCCATATCAATATCTTTTCTCTTTTCATAGTCATTTATAATTAGCAATTTGTTAAAAATAAGATATATAAATATATTTCTCTTCTGATTAATACATTGATTCAATGATAAATGGAATATACAGTATTATGTTCACAGCAGAAATTCAAAAAATAAGACTAATAAGATATATACTCAAATTCATGTGGCAGAATTGATTTTCAGGACTATTTTAAATATATCAAATAATGTAAAATGTATCAAATGATGTAATGATCTTTATGATTTACATGAGCTTGTTTTAATTGTGTGTGTCTATATACACACACATATATACATCTTGTGGAACTAAAAACACTGATAAATCACAGCAATTAACAAAACTGATAAATTAATTACTTGCTATACATTAAAGATAAATATTTATATTTAAAATATGTATTCAAATCTCATTATTACATATATTTGATTATTTATGACTGGGGAAATAAAAAATTGTGGGATATAGTCTCTGGCATTGTTTTATTGTCTAAGTAAGTATGTTATGTAGCTTCAAATATAGCAAAACTAGCTTAAATTTTTTTTTCTTTCTATTGCATCAGTGTTTCTATATAAAAATCTATTGCTGAGCATGTTTCTAGGCTGTGAATTTTAGGCTGTGGTTTTCATAGAATAATATTAATAGTTCTACTGACAGTCTTTATTGGAAAAGTTTTTTTCTAACTGTGATAGGCAGCTTTTCATATGGTCATCAATAATCCCAGCAGCCTGGTATTCACACTCTTGTGTTATCCTCTCCCTTGAGCATAGTCTTAATTACTTGATTTTAACCAATAAAATATGGAAAATATAATGGGATGTCATTTCTGTGATTAAGTTACAAGCATTATGAGCTCTCTATTGCTAGCAGACTCTGTTGCCTTTGTGGCTTGCTGAAGCTAGCTAAAATATGGGAGAGACCTAGGTGGCATGGAAGTGAAGGAGGCCTCCAGCAAATGAATGGGTAGAAAATGAGGTCCTCAGTTCATCAGACCACAGGATCTGAATACTGCCCCAAATCACTGAAGGAGCATGGAAAAGTCTCCTGTCTCAGTTGTGTCTTCAGTTAAGAGTATGGATCTTAGTCTAACACCTCAATTGCAGCCTTGTGATAAGCTGTATAGCAGAGAACCCAGTTCAGCCATGCCCTGTTTCCTGACCCAAAGAAACTGTAAGATAAAAATGTGTGCTGTTCCGTAGTAGTAGATAACTAATACAATAACTTGTCAGTAAAACTGACAAACTTAACTATACCTTGATATCAAAATCTTTTTAAAAACTAATTAAATTTATAAGAACTTACCTTCACATGTCATATCGATATGGTGGAATTCTCATTTTCTAAGAAAACCGGGTAATTTACCTGACAAGCAAACTTGAAGCCATGCTAATGTCTTCTCTTGATGTATTATGCTCATGCTATTTCTCTCTAAATCATCTGTTATGACAAAGAAGGACAATGGGAGAGAGCATTCATATAACAAAATGTAACATGGTACCAGAGGGCCTCCAGCTCATCTTTTTCCAAGGGGAAAACATGATCAAATTTCTCTCTAAGAGAGCCATGAAGTTATTTGTCATAGAGGTTTCTCAAATAATAGCTTCCTGTAAACTTGCAGGCTAGCATTGTATTTCTGTTATAATGTAAGCTCTCTTCTTCCTGCTGTGTGACCTATGGCAATTTACTTAGTTTCTCTGCATGTCAGTTTTCTAGGCAATAAAATTATATTTTTGGACTATATGGTATGTAAGGCCAAATATTTGAAATATTTCAAATACTGTAAGTGTACCTAAAAATATTTATATTATTAACATGGCCACAGCAGAAGCTTCTGATGGGAGACATTATCTGTGTGGCAAAGCTGCTTGATATATTGCCTAAATGTGCCAAAAATTTCTGTGAAGATATTTTATTGCAAACTGGAATCTACTGAATTCTGCAGGGATTTTTTTAATAAAACCTTTTATGCCCTAAAACAAAAAAGTTCTCTTCTTTTCATGTTTCTAGTGCAACATTAAAAGGGTTTTTTTCTCATATTCTTTATTCAACATGTGACAATTCCCTTCCTTGTGAGCAAAAATATATAAGTATTAAATTCCACAATTGCCAAAGAGAAACAAACACAAAAGGAAGTGATGTTTTTCTAGGATAATTCACTTTCAAATGAATGAATACTATTGTGAGGTGTTTAATAAATCAGAAACAATTGATAGGAGGAATTATTAGAGAAAAAAATTGACCAGTACTATGCAAATAATGACTCATACAAGAATACAAAATGTCAGAGAAGCAAAAAATAACA